GGACAAGGGGGGCGAGGGTAGGGTTGGGGGGCGCACAGCTCCTGAGCCTGGCAGTCCTGAGAAGGACTCCGCCCGCTCTTCTGCTGCTCTCCCATCCGCCTCCCACCAGGCCAGGTCCTGGGGGAATTCCCTCCTTTCCTCCCCTCCTCTCCTTTCCCAGCAGCTGCAGGGGCGCCCTTGGGGCTGGAGACTGTTGCTTCCTGAGGGGGGATCCCAGATCCTCAGGGAAATTCCCTCTCCTTCCATCCCTCAGGTGGGGGCCAGGAGCAGGGGGGTGCTGGCCCCACTATATCCCCTCCCCAAAGCCTCTGGCCTCAATCCAGGCGTGAGCGGGGGCTGCGGGGAGTCTGAGAAAGCCCCTTTCCTCCTCTGGGCCCTGCAGCCCTCTGCAGGGAGCCTAAGGAGGGGACAGAAACTGGGGAGACTTCTCTTTCCCCCATTATAGTGGCTGGCGCTTATTCTGCCCAATGCTGAATGCCACGGTTCCTCCTAGGGAATAGTGAGCACCAACAGGGGCCAAAGGCTCTACCTGAATACAGAATGGGAACAGTCCCAGAGAACCAGACCCTCTGCCCAATGAAAGTGAGGAGAAGTCCCCAAACCTCCAAGGGAGGTAGTTACAGGAATACAACCTACCCACCCCCTGCCCAGCTCTCAACCTGCTCTAGAATCTCCTCCCAAAGAATCCCTTGACATTATCCTCGCTAGAGAAAACAGAAGCAGTTGGCCACGTCTTCCTTTCCCCAACTCCATTCCAGAACACACCCGCAGACCGGGAGAGCAGTGATGTGGGGCCCTCTAACCTGAGACCCTGCCCTCTGAGTCTTAAAGGGCTCCTCAGCTTATAGGTGCAGGCCGTGCTGTCGGCACCACGGAGGAACCAGCCCAAGGCCTCCCCTGGCCAACAGCTCCAGAACATTTTCTTCCCACCGGCAGCAGCCATTAATTAACCAGTTTAACAAGGAGGAGGAGGCACTGTTTGGTATGGGCTGGGATAGTATGGAAGCTTGGGAAAAGAGCCGCATGAACAGGGCAGGGCTGGGTGGAAGCTGGATGTGACCTGAGGGTGGATATGCCTCAGTTTACTTCACCTCTAAGTCAGGATGGGAAGAGCTGAATCAGCTCCGAGTATCTCTGGAAGGAGAAGGTGAACCGCCTGGGTTGAGAGGCCAGGAGCAAGGGGAATGAGGATGAGCAGGTGCCAGCCAGAGCGAGGGGAAGGCAGAAACAAGGCCTGAAGGCAGGCCAGGCAGAGCGGAGAGAAGGGACGGGGGCTGAACAGCCAGGAAAGGAGGGTGCGGAGCTCCCACGCGGGCTAAGGAGGCCTCTTAGTGGTGGCGGTCATAGAGTGCAGATAAGGCCGCAGAGGGAAAGAGCCCAGGCCCAGTGCTCAGCTGCCTGGTGACGAACCCTGAGGAAGACTTTACCACTTCCTCACTGGCTGCACCACCTTGGGCAAGCTTCTCCATCTCCCTGTACCTCAGTTTCCGTATCTGAACATGAGGCTAATACCAGGACCCTCATAGCTAGTTGTAAGGATTAAACAGGCCACTGTGCACTGAGGTGCTCCAGGCAGTGTCTAACCAAATAGGAAGGACTCCGTAAATCCAGGCGATTATTCATTATTCCTTTCCTTTCCTTCCTTCCTTTCTTTTTCTTCTTCTTCTTCTTCTTCTTTTTTTTTTTTTTTTAATGAATGACCTTTGAGGTAGTATGAACATTCAAAGGTAGGGAGAAAAAGGAAAAAGGCAACCATGCAACCACCACACAGGGCCACGGTGGCCCCCCAGGAACCTCCCCTTGCAGGAACCCCTCATTCTGCACAAAAAGGCTGGGAGAGGAGGTAGAGGATCACAGCATAGGATAGCACAGAATCATGGAACATTAGAGCTGGGCCGGGGCAGGGGGACTCGGGGATTGAGTGATCCAGTTCCACTTTCCTGCTTTACAGGGGAGGCGACAGAGTGGCAGAGCAGGGCCAAGGCCCCGGAGGCCCTGACTGCAGCCCAGTGCCCCCTCCACTGCTCACCGCCAAATAATGAGAGGAGCAGGCTGCTCAGCAGAGCGGGAGTTGATCCAGGCCAGGGCCCCCGGGGGTTCATCCCTGCATCCCCAGCCTAGTCCAGTGCCCAGCACACAGTAGGTATCCAATGCATGTTTGATGACTGGATTAGGCAGGGGCAATGAGAAAGTTGCTGAGCTAGGGCAAGTGGTGTGGTCCCCAGAGGAGAGGTAGGCCTGGTGGGGGAGGGGAGGAGCCCTAGGCGGAGGGATTTGGAGCAGGCCCAGGCGGGTGGGGCTCTCACCTGCCTCCCAACTCGGTTGTTGTGGAGCCTCATGCGTGCGTGGATGTCTCTGTGAGGCTCCCGGGAGTCCAGAAAGTCCTTAGAGAAGCGCTCCCCGAAGCCCACGTCGGGGCTACAGCCGCCCCACTCCCAGGAGTCCTGCAGGCCCGGGCTGGCAGGGGGCAAGGCTGGGTGTTCCGGGACCCCGTGGCTCAGGCCCTTACCGCGCTGCAGCGCGTCCAGCTGCAGGCGGTGCAGCTTCTGGCGGAAGGCCTCCTCGTCCCCGCGCCGGGAGGCGTCGCAACCGCACGCCCTCAGTTTGCCCAGGGCACAAGCATTGGACACCGCGTGCACAACCCCGGCAGCCGCGATGGCGTAGGCGAAAGCGCTCTCTCGAAAACCTGAGGGTGGAGATCCAGGAAACAGGCTCTGGGGGGCCTCGACGTCTCATCCCTCCGCCCTCACTGCCCACCCTTCTTACCACAAGAGGGAGAAACTGAGGCCCAGTGTTGGGGGAAGGTCTGGTACGAGGACACAGACTCAAAGAGGGGCAGAAATCACCCCTAGAAGTTCGGGGTGCAGGGTGGAGTGGGGGAGGGAGGGTTACATCACCCTTAGCAAGCTCAGAATTCGTGTCTACCTCTCTCCTGTTGGACAGAAAGTATCTGGTAAACATTCTTTTGAAGATCAGGGACTTAATCTATTACCTCTCATGTGATGTTTGCAATTTAAAAATAAGCCTGCAGAAAGAAGGCAAAATTTAACCTAAAAAAATAAATCATTCGTGATGGACTTCCAGGCCCTAGGAGATGCTAATGGGCAGAAGGGCAAGTAAGAGGAGATGGGGTCCTCCTAAAGCTGCCAGCCCCAAGGTTGCCTGCCGACTGCCACCCCTTCAGCCCACTACAGAACACTCTCTGATGGCAGCGGGTCTAGGTCAGCTGAAGGGGTTGTTGGAGGAATGCTGGAAGTCAGCCCAGTGCCCTGCTGTTGAAAGTTGAGAGGGAAAGGTGAACTAAGGCAGACACCTTCCTTGAGATGCTCGGGGGGCACAAAGACCCTGATGAACCACTCTCAGGGGCCCAGGACTTGTCTACACTACTTTTCTCCTCAGTGTTTCCCAGCCTGAGCCATCCTTTGGGAAGGCCCTGGTAGGTCTGGGCCTCCCTGGCAGAGGGAGGTCTGCTTGCAGAGGAGGCTCTGGCTCCTGGACCCACAAGTGGTTTCTGGCTTATTCTGCATCTGACAAGGGACCAGCTAGTAGCATTTTCTGGTACAAGTCTCTGACCAGCCTCTGAAACCGAGAGAGTGTGGGCAGTGGGAGAAGAAGCCAGGAGCAATCATAGCCTGCACATGAAGAGGAGAACTTACCTGTGCCGTAGGCACCTGTTGGGGGAAGCCCAGACCCTGGCAAGAGACTGAAGGCTTGCAGGAGACCAGAGATTCAGAGGAAAAAACTCTGGGTCCTTCCACCCTAGCATCAAAGACTGGAAGGATGTGCTCTGGGAGTTCCCACAGACCTCAGAGAGCCAACCAGGGCTGGACCCCAATCTTACACCCCCCATGTTCACCCTCTGCATCACAGGGTCCTGTCCCCCTGTCCTTACCTAGCCACACCACCCCCCCAAAAAAGACAAGTTGTGCAGTAGTTAAAAGTATGAACTCCGGAGCCAAATTGTCTGGGTTCAAATCTTAGCTCTTCCACTTAACTAACTGTTAATAGCGACATGATCTTGGCCAAGTGACTTGACCTCTGTGCCTCAGTTTTCTCATCTGTAAAACAAGATTGTTATTATCTGCTTCACTGTTGTCCCCAAAATTGAATTAGTTAGTAAATTTCAAATACTTAGGAGAGTGCCTTCCTCGTAGTAAGTACTGCACAAACATTAGCTATTTTTGAGAAGTTCTTCATGTTGTCTCATTCCACTCACTGGAGTTGCAGTTTCAGGCCATTGGTTCTTGTTTCCTCCAATCAGGGACAGAGCCCAGCAGCTCATGACCCACTTTAGGATAAATCACATGGGCCACCAGAAGCCCGAGAAGCAGGACATCCCTCTCTATCTTCTCTCTCCAGCTTGTGGCATCTCAGGACCTTTTCTGTAAGGAGCCCAGCTATTAGCAGACAGGAGGGGATGAGGATTGGGTGGGAGCCTTTTAAGGGGCTGTTGGGAATTGGTGGGAGTTGCAGAGGAGTAGACACTGACATGGGAGTGGGGCCCAAGGGAAAGGAGGGCAGACCAAGTCCCTAGGGAGCGTACCCTGTGTTTATCCCCTGCCTTTTAGCTGTGGAACTCTCAGCACTCCCCCTATTGCTAGGGGGCTCATCAGCCCACTGCTAGGACAAATGGCAATACTCAGACCTTCAGAAGCAGCCCAGGCCTCAGAAATTGTCCCCCCCAACACACACACACACACACACACACACAGTGCAAAAGGGAGATGCCCAAGGTCACAGGGTTATGCAGCAGCCCCAGCCCCAGCTCCCTCAGCTCCCAGGCCTGGTAACTTCCTGCTAAAGGACATTTGGCTCTAGGGAAGACATGTTCCTGAGTAAGAAACCCAGGTCACCCAGGTCCCAGTTCCTATGGCCCTATCTACGCATGCCACCAAGAAAGAGCAAGAGCCTAGTCCAGGGGGATGTGCTGGGCCACCATCTTCCAGGCTCTGTTACATTCAGAGGCAGGCCCAGAGGAGTCTGGAAAAATGTAGTTCACAATCTACAAAGAACACCCCTACCTACCCCAGGCAGCTAAAGACACCATGCCAGGGCCTCTGGCCACTGTCACAGCCACGTGTAGGGGCGGCCAGGCTGGGCTTGTGTGACCACCCTCTGCTCCTAGCATCCAGGATTCAGAGAAGTCCAGCCTCCTGGCTCTGCCCCCAGCTCCCACTCAGGGCCCCAGTTTCGGTCCTGGCCCCGTCTGTCTGGGGCAGACGCGGCGCTGTGCCATCTGACCAGCTGGAGGGGGAGGGGTGGGGCCATGGCCAGCTGGGCTGCCTGGAGCATGGTGGGGGGGGCTTGTTAAGACGCACAATTAGCCATCCTGCCTTTGATCTGGGACAGGGACTGCCAGCATCTAAGTGGAGTCAGCTGCTGCTCCAGGCCAGTGGCCAGGATGGGGCTGAGGGAGGAGGTTTGGAGGGCAGGGGAGCTTGGGGGAGAGGGGATTCAGGAGCCAGTGGGAACCAGGAGGGGTCAGAGAAGCTTGAGCCCCGGCTGTCTGAGTCAAAGAGGGAGGCAAGGGGAGAGATCTGGTCTCCATCCCCTCCATGCAAATAATCTGTGCACGCTCCGGTGCCTGGGCTGAGAGAGAGAGAGAGAGAAAGAGAGAGAGAGAGAGTTGTGTGCATGTGGGAACACTTAGGGGGAACACTGAATGTGGCTACACGTTTGCACAAACAGAGGTAGGTGTTTGTCTGTGTGTGTATACGTGTCAGTTTCATTTCTTAGACTACTCCTCGGTTGTACCGCTCACCTCTGGACACACGGTGGGAGACCCTGGTGGCCTGGTAGCTTAGGGAGGCAGTATGGGAGGGGGTTGAGGGCGATCTCTAAAGTCAGCTAGGCTGCATTTGAGTCCTGGCTCTATAGCTCCCTTAGAAGCTGTGTGACCAATGGCAAGTTACCCAACCTCTCATTGCTTCACTTGTAAAATGAGGATACTAATAGGACCCATTGCGTGGGGATTGTTTGAGAATCTTAAAGTACAGATAAAGTGCTTTAGAACAGTGCCAGGCAAACAGCAAGTACTTAATATGTATTAGCTAATTTATTGGGGGCTATTTGAATAATGGAACTTTAGGAGATCCTGGGATATGATTGCCTGAGCCTCTGTCTCCCTATCTGCGTGCTACCACCCACCCCAAGCCTGGAGGCCTAGGCATAGAACCAATGCTCCTCAAGGGTGACCGTAAAAGGGAGGTGGGAGAAGAAAGAGCGAGGCCCTTGGAAAACAGAAGCTGGACTCTCAAACTGTGGGCTTCCATTGGGCTGAGAGCCTGGCTGGGCTGCAGGGCCTCATGCCCCCTCTCTTTCCATCCATTCCAGATGGGTCTAGGCCTTGGGAGAGGGCAGTAATAACCTGTGTGGGCACTCCTAGGACCTGCTGCTTGAATCTCCTACACTTGCCTCCACCAGCCTCTCCCTGGCCCCTCATCCCTTTCCACTCCATTGCCCCTGCATCCAGAGTGAGAGATGGACGGGTGCTCTAGTTCTCACAATGAGGGGTTCCCCTCTAGATGGGCTGCCCAGCAGGTACCAATTGTCTGGGTCCTCAGAACAAAAAGCTGGGGATATCATTGCCCTGGCCCTTAGGTAAGAGCAGCCCCTGGGTTGGGGACCTTCCCACAGCTTTTTTTTTTTTTTTTTATTCTAACCCCCGAGAGGCCTCTCTCCCTGTCCCCTACCCACCCAGGTTCTAGCACCCTGTCATGTCGTCTCCCAGACTGGGTAAAGCCCTATTATATGCCCTATCTTCCCAAGTTTGTCCACTCCAGGTGTTCAAGCACCCTTCCCTCCTACACTGGAAACTCATCCCTTCACCCAATCCATTTCAGGGGAGATGCCAGGACAATCAGATGGCAGTAACAGCATTAAGGTGGAAGGCCCCAGGGACCACCTCCTCCCAGCAGTCTCTGAATTTTAGACATGGCAGAACGCACCTTTAAGAGAACCCCACTGGGTTGGAAGAGGGGTCAGCACCCTGTATTCCACTTGGGGGAAACGGGTCACCTGACCCCACATGGGACAATTCACAACTTGAAAAGAAGGGAGACTGGGGGGATGGACCCAGTCCAGGGACTGGTTGCCACCAAGAGTGGCCCCGTAGAATTCAAATTTAGCTAGTCCTTGAGGTGATGGGCCAAGGGAGATAACCCCACAGGAGGGTGAAGTGTGAACCCAGATATGGAGTGAGGGAAGGGTTGTAATGGTGGCCCGTGGAGGGAGAAAGTGGCCATTTCTTCCAGAGGCCCAGAGGCCCCTCCGAGGAGGGAGAGGTAGAAAATGGGGTGTCGCAATGCGGGAGGAGAAGCCACCCAGGTAGGACAGTGTTCCAAGGCCAAAGGAAGGAGCCCAGCCCCCCTGCCAGAGCCCAGGAGCGGCTGTCCCGCTCCTTCCTCCCCGAGCTGGGCACCGCCCCGCCCTGGCTAGCCCCGGCAAGTCTCCCCCCTCCACCCCTAACCTTCCCCCGCCACCGGTCCCCCCAGCTCACCTCCCGCTTATTAAACTGCAGGTGAACCCGGGAGCGCCTGGCGCTGCGCCAACCCCGCGCGCTTCCACCTCTCCAAACTCACCCCTGAGCTTCAAAGACCCCACGTCCTCCACCGGGCCACACGGGCCTCACGCGGGCGAAGTAATCAGGACGCATGGGTTCACTCCCTATAGAGGGGACAGGAAGCCCAGAGGGGAAGGGGGGACACCGTGGCCGGGAAGAGAGATGAAGAGCTTGCCTTGCCTTGCCTTGCCTCACCCGAAGCGGCAGGGGTGAGAACCTCAGCGCCTGTCAACCCCCCGCGAGCAGAACCCAAAGCAAGGGCTCCGGCGCCCTCACTGCGGGGGCCCCGAGCGCTGGAGGGAACCCGGGGCGTCGGGGAGCGCACGGGTCACCTAGAAACCCGGAGTGGGAGCGGGCGCGCGGCGGCGGCGAGCTCCAGCCCGGCCCGGTCAGGGCTGGAGAGAGGCACAGGCCCGTCCCTTGGCGTGGTCGAGCGCGGGCGGCCGGGGCGGGGC